TCAAGAAGTAGGGACTGCTTAAAATGATGTCCCTAGTATTACCATCTCTCCTTCTTCCTCTCTGTGCAAAATAGTCACTTTGCTAGAATACTAGAAACTCTGGCCACTGGGGGGCAACCTTCACAACAAAGCGTAAGCATGGGAAAAAGTTCACCAAATAGTGACCTTTTCCGGTAAGCAGTAACTGTGAACACTTCTCATAATTCTGATAAGGGCATCAGAATTATCAAAGGCTCATTATCAGGCCAGATTTGTTATTTTCTAATAGCAGGTTTCTTTGTTTTTGCAAATAATGGGGATGTAGAGAAGCTTGGCTATGCAAACCAGTAAGGTAAGTGATTGAAGCAAGAAATGTGGCAGGCAGTCGTTTTTCCATATGCAAATGGAAACCATCACAGACTGAACTGGTCAGAGCTGTGTGTGCGTGCACAAGACAGATAAACAAACAACCCAACTGCTCCCTCTGAACAAAATAATAAATTTCAAAACCAGAAAGATGAGGAAGAAGGGGTAGAGAAGGAGAAACATGTAGGGAAAGAATGAGGGTGCTCCCAGACAAAGCATCCTATTGCAAAACTGTCCTGAACTCCTTCACAGAATTGTACAGGGTATCCGGATATCTTTCAGAAGTTGTCTGTTTTTAAGTCCCCAGTGCTCTCCATTGCTTCGTCCACCTTCCTTCTTTCCACACACAAAAAAGGAAGACTAAACTTTGTATCAATAGTCTTAAGAGCCTTCTGTAGAGAAGCACCCTTAGACCCTACAGTCTCCCCACCCCTCTATGATCAATACCTTCTCAGTAGGGGCAGCTAGTCCTGCCCTGCACAAGTTTTGCTTCCGTTGAAGAAATGAAAGAAGGTGTTCTCAGAGGCAGCAAGCGTCCACACAATCTGACATGTCAGAGATCACATCCACAGAAGCCTGACCACCATTATGCGTGCAGCCTGCAGTTCAAAGGGTGGGATGAGAAGGCAAGCAGTTCACCACACAGAGCCAACCTCCCATGCCCCGAAGTTGTTCCCAGCAATGCATTCAGCTTTTATCTTTGCTACAAAAGGTATCGAGTTCTTCTGACACATGGTGCCAGCTCACTGTTCTTCCAAACGCAAACCAGAGTGCCATTGAGATCCTCAGCCTTTGATGGCTGAAAGAGAACCTTGCCTTGATATCAGACACCATAAAAACAAGAATCCTCGTTAAACACAGAAGTGAAAACTTCAGCTCCTTCTATTACAAATATAGGCAAAGCAAAGGAAGCAAAGCTCTCTATCCATGTTGTCTCGTTATCCTTCTAATATCGTCTCTGTCTAGCACAGCAGGCACCTTTCTCCCCCCAGTTTGTTTTCCGGGAGTTAAGCTGTTAATATAAGCAGGTAAGAGGGCTTCCTTTTGCACTTTCTTCCCTACCTCATGGGTTCTTAGAAACACTCACCTGAAAGAACTGTGGCTTGAATGTGAACGACAGTCCCGCCATCTCCCCGACGGCTGCCTGAGTTTAAACTCTGCTTAGCTTGTGAAAGCTAATAAGATCGCAGCTCTGAGCAAGCTGGCTGCAAATCAGGAAATGAATTTTCTTGGCCGAGGTGCACATTTTAACATGCCACCTGCAGTGTGACATACCTCCATAGAGTCACTGGAGAGCCAGGCAGAAGTAGAGAGAAACCATTTCATGAAAAGCAGCACCACACACTGCTCAGCATGTGTATCTGTGTGTGTGTGTACGCGCGCGCATGTGCTACCAACCCCCACTATGTCAATAATTTCAGCAATGCTTTAATGCACTTAAGAAGCAAAATGCAAAACACTGTGGTGGGCACTCCAAAACTCTAAAACAGATGCCCAATTATAAGTCCATATTTTTACAGGTGTTTTTCACAACATTTGACATCCGCTTCAAAGTCCTATATGAACTCCTAAAAACCAAGTAACCCATGTGCTGGTAATGCATTTGCTGTATCAGGCCAAAGAATGTATTTTGTCTAGAGAAAGAAAGAGAGAAGGTACAACATGCATCTCTTTTTTTTTTTTCAAGCAAAGATTTCACCTGGGCAGTATATGGGGCTTCCGGTGGAAAGCAAAAGCTTGCACCCATTTTAAAGCAGTATTTTCACAGACAGAAATTTATTATATTAGGAATGCAATGACTCCAAAGGTGGCCCGAAACAGATCGGCAACTAAAATTAACTAGCTGCTTCCAGGGTGTTCTTCCATGCTAAAAAAAGAGATTTTAAAATGGATTTGGAATAAGAGTGTTCCCTTCAGCAGAACAAAGGATTCATAACTTACAGCTGCCCTATTTCTCCCAAGTTACTACAAAGCCTGGAGCTAAACTCAGAGGGGACAGGGAAGCATCCCTGTGTTTTTTGTTTTTTTTGGGGGGGGGGAGGCAGGCAGATAACACCATCATTCTTGCTAATCACAACAGTATTTTCACCCCAAGAGTCTGGGTTCTGCTATAGCAGTGTGCATCAAAGCTGCTTGTGTGATTTATACCCTGAATTTAGAATCACAACCAAGGTCTAAATCATGCAAGGAGCTTACATTTGTACAGCCGTTTCCCTCCAATGTGCATAGCAGAAGCAGAAAAGAGGTGCACAACAGAGTAGCACCAACGAATCTGGCCTCCTTCTCCCCCTCTTATGATAAGGGAGAATGCCCAAACAAGGCTAAAAATTTGGGATTCTATTACATCTATGCCAATATTTTGAAATTTGAGGGGTAGAGCTACAATACAATCTTGTACATGTTTGCTCAGCAGGTTTGATTTCAATGGAACTTACTTTCAAGTCACTGTGCATAAGATCATTGAGACAAGTTATACATTTGCCTCACTCTTCCACTTAAATCAATGGGAGAGGAAGGATGCAAATAGCCCAGAATGCTGTTCAACCCATCACAACAGATCATCAGGACAGCTGCATTTATAGATGGACGAGAATTTCGTTTCAGTTTGTTAAGCATTAGTATTTGTTCCATGCACAAGCCCAAACATGAACGCAATCATGTTTCACGGCCAAAGCTCTCATATTCCCAAGCTTGTGACTGTGCTCGAACGATGAATCGTCTGCTAAAAAAAAGTGCACTTCAGAAGTGTGCATTCTGAAAAAACACTAGAAATCCTCATGCACAGTCAATGGGAGAAAGCACAAATTGTGGTACAGACTTAAAAAAGTGTACCCACATGCACATTTTTCCCATCCACAAGTATACAGAATAGTGCTCACACCTGGGAGCAGGAATGAAGCAAACTCAATGACACAAATGAAATCAAATAACCTCAACAAGCTCAAACCCCACCGACTCTTCCAAGGTACATTTTACTACTTACTACGAAAGCAACTTCTGATTCAGATGTGCTGGCCCAGGATGAAGCCCACTGCTTGGCTGCAGTCAAACAACTGAAAGCAGGACTTCTGCATTACAGAATGTGATTGTTTGGGACCAGAAAGAGCCACACACAACAGCAGACTATGACACTAGTTCCCCTTAAACTGGGGTCTTTAAATCATGCTTTCAAATGGCACTTTGTGATCTTGGATTAAGAAGGAACCTTGCTTGGCAGTGCTAATGGAAGTTACTGGCCATTAGTGGGACAAATGTAACAGTTTAGGGGTGGGATCTCACACTCTAGAAATGAACACATCGAGAATGGCAGCATCTTGTGATCTATATTTGACTTGGTCACCATTATTTATTTATGCAGTATTACACCTATGCCAGGCTACAAGGAATATGGGTCAGCCACCTGGAAGCATCACCCAACAGGTTTTCAAGGATTATTTAACTTCTTAGGTAACAGGCTTTGGTTTACAGGCAGAGGGCAGAACCTTGGGCAGAGGGCAGGGACTGGGGTACAGTCAACTCTCCAGATGGCCACTGCCCCTTCCCTGGGCTCCACCTCTTCCCTCTGACCGCCAACTAGGTTTTCCTGGCTTTTCTGTGGGTTTTGACAATGAAGGAAGCTGACAGGAAGAAAGTGATGTGTTCAGAATGTAGGGAGACACTTTGCAAACACCCTAGACTGACCAAAAGGCAAACAAATGGGTCCAAGATCAAATCAAGCCAGAACTTGAAGCAAACATAATGAAACTGAGGCTGTTGTATTTCAGGCACATCATGAGAAGGTGAGACTCAGTGAAGAAGACAACCGTGCTAGGGAAAATCACAGGCAGAAGAAGGGGAATACCAAATAAGAGACGGATGGATTCCATAAATGAAGTCTTGAGTTGACAAGAGTGAACCATGGATTTCAAGGGCTGGAGGGCATTTATTCATGGAGTTGCCATATTGCTTGATGGTACTCAACAAGAAGTTATATTTATTGGCAGTTAGTGCTTTATAACCAGTGTGGTGTAGTGCTTAAGAGCATGGGACTGGGAATCTGATGATCAGGGTTCTAGTCCCTGCTCCACCATGGAGGCAACTGGGTGACTTTGGGCCAGTCACAGGCTCTCAGCCCAACCTACCTCACAGGGTTGTTGTTGTGCGGATAAGATGGAGGAGGAGAATGATGTAAGCTGCCTTGAGCCCTTTGTAGGAAAAAGGCAGGATATAAATCGAATGAATGAATGAATGAATGAATGAATGGATTAAATAAATAAAAACACACTGTTATTGGCCCCTTTCTTTTTGCGTTGGCCCTGCCCACAACTTTCCCCAAGAACTTCTCTGAAATGGAATTGGGCCATGGGGCCAAGAGAGGTGCTGCGTGCCCAGCTTACATTAGCCTTCCCCAACCTGGGGCCTTCCGGAAGTACCAGGGTTGCTGAGAGCACACAATTGGGGGTGGGGGGGGGGGCTTGCTTACATGCTCTCCTACAGGTGATTCAATTTCAACACTAAAACTTTGGTAAAATAATTAAGGGGTAAGATAATAGTGTAGCCAAAATCCCACTTTCACACACAGACACGTTATGGTTGTTTGGCACCACATGCAGATTTTTACAATTCAAAAGAGACAATGAAACAACAGTGAAAATAAAAAAAACTCTTTCACTCACCCTTACATCTCCATTTACAGCTCTGGGCATGTGATTGAAAGCATGTGCAGGATCTTTGTTGTAAACTTTAAGGAAAGATCGGTCTTGAATGTTCCTGAATTGTAAAACAAACATGAATACAGGAGATGAAAGAACTTTGTTTTAGCCCATTTGCTTTGCTTGCCCTAACAATTTGGGCGGCAACTTGGTAGCAGCCAGTCAGTGGGGACCCCCCCCCCCCCCGCTCTGTCAAAGAGACAAAAGATGAACATATTTTCTCTTATTTATCCCTTGGGAAGCATAATTCTTTCAGGACAATGCCACACTCATACAAATACAGCCATTTTTAGTTTCATGGAGAGATGTCAGAGAAATTCAAACCAGATTCAAATGACTGGATTTCTGTGAGTTCAACCCAGAGTTTCTGTAGGGGACTGGCATCTTCTGAGTTTCTACAGGCTTACAGACTCCCCCACACCACTTGGTAGAATTGTGCACAAATTCAATCATACAAAACTTAGTGAATATCATGGTAATATATATATGCCTATTCAGAAACAGAAATCAAACACTTTAACATCTTTGATCTCTCTGCAACGTTCACTGTGTAGCACTAAGGAAAATATGCAAAATACTGCACACAAGTTACATAAATTATGGCAGACATTTAGGAGTACTTTTTCCAATCCTATTCCGTCAATGAGCAGACTGACAATCTATACAACATACACTGAACAGATTAAACAAAATCCATAAACCCCTGGTCTCTTTAAAGATCTCAGGTACAAAACAATTAGCAAAATAGCTTTAATGTTTACAATATTTTCAATTAAGTTTTCAACTATGTATGCTTATTTGAAATAAGCATACATATCAAAGCAATACATCAGAAAAGTATTTTTAAAGCTTCCTTAGGAGGAAAATGTTTGCAATCCTGCAACAACCCTGATCCCACACTTGAATCACACTTAATTCCAATGAATTCAGCAAACTTGCTTCTAAAGAAACATACATGGGATATTAAACTTGCTCAGCTCTATCATTTGGGATTCAACATGGATGAAAGACAATGAAAAAATGTGCTTTCTCTTTAAAGTTCTCCCAAACAACCTTGAAGATGACTTGCCAGTTAAAGCAGACATGGGGATAACAACAGTTCTGAAAAAGCCAATTATTTTCTCTTTAGTTTCAAAACCTACCTTACAAACAGCTTATAAGTTAGAGACCTGGAGCAAACTCTTCCTTTAGCAATACTCAGCCACACAAGACTGCAATCTCACTACACTTGCGCTCTCTTAAAGCGATGATGCCTTTCATTTAACACCAGCCATCTCCTGAGAATTTGCACCTAAGACTGAATTCCTTTGCTCCAGGTGTAGCTGCAAGTTTAGCGGGCTGATCTGAATCACAGGGATTATCCTTTTGGGGTGGGGGAGGGAAACACATGGTGAAGGATTTTTGGACAGGTCTTGCTTCTTTTAAAGTCACACTGCTGTTGGTAATTGCCTTGAATCTGTAACTAGTTAGAACTTGCTTCCCTGCTATTGATTTCAAGCAGATAGCTAAAGAGACAGTTCAGCCTGACTGTTAAGAAACATGGGGTTAATTAGATGTTTAGTGTTAATGAAACAGCATTCAGGGAAAACCTCAAGAAAATCATACCCATGAGCAACCTAGGGCTCAATCTGAAGCAAGCTTAGACAGAAAAAAGCCTACAATTGCTGGGTGGGAGCTGTAGTTTTTCCAGCTAAACTCAAACAGGACTGCACACTCAAGCTTGTTGCAGTCTCAAGAGAGAATTCACACATTCATGAGGATACTACTAGTGTTTTGTGCAGTGATGGCATGGATCATTGCTTTTTTGCATGGTCTAAGCCTGGATGGACACATGTAGTCAACGGAGGAGGTAGCGTGGGCAGTACGATGCCAGACTACAGATGACAATGCCGTTTTTTTGAACAGTGAAAATATTCCATGCACACAGAGAACTAGGGAGACATGTCCCATCCTATCCTTTTTCTTCCATGCTACCTTTGCAAGGGTACATGGTATTAATGGATCTCTATCCATCTGTCTATAAACCATTAAAAATATGGTCTTTCATCTGCAATCTGAAATGTACACTCAGGTTTACACTCAGCCACTTTATTTTTCTGCATGCACAGATACTTGAAGGCATTTGTCTGCATCTATGCTTTGCTGCAACCCTCACCAGATGCCCTTCTTTGGCTTTCCCCATAATCTGAGGTACAATGGGAGACTCCAGAGGAGGGGCCTGTTCTCAGAGAGGATGCTCTGGTTTTGCATATATTCCAAAGAACCTGCCTGGTGCCCACTCTGCTTTGAAGAAGTTGGTGCTTTAGCTTCATTTCATGCATATGTTAATTTATGGCACTTTAAGTACTGCACTGTAGGTCAGATATTTGCAGGGCATCACATCCAAATCAGACAGGAGTGAACAGTCTGGAGGCTGCATGTGACTCTCTGCCATTCTCCATTTGACCCCCAGGCGCAGTCCTTGACTACCATTAGCCCTCTGGGCACAGTAATGGTCTGAACTGGGCATCAATTCCGGCAAATAAGGCAGGGAGATGGCAGCATATAAGCCTCATCCAGAAGTACCCACAAAGAAAAGGCACATTGACAGAGGCATGGGGTGAAGGGACTGGGAGCTGTTTCAAAATTAGCTTGATAAGTTTTATTTGCCTGGTCTCAGACAGCTATCTTCAGGATTGAATTCAGGTCCCCACTCAGCATGAGAGTAGTTCTGTGATTTTCAACCAGTCACTGGCTCTCAGCCCGGCATCCCCATATAATTGAATATTAAATGCAGTTTGCATGGACAAAATGTGTTACCATTCAGTTCTTGCTCATTCTCGCAATTAAGTGAGGTTGATTTAGCTCAGGCATTTGCCTAGGACTCCCCATGAAACTTCACAGATGAGCAGAGACTTAATCCTTAGGTTTCTGGCATCCTATCTCAATATTCTAGCTTTCCCCAAACTGGCACCCTTCAGAAGCACCAGCTTGGGCATGCTGGGAGTTGTAGTCCAACACATTTGGAGGCATCAGGTGGGAGAAGGCTGCAACAGCCACTTGTCTGCTCTATAAACATTAGTCTTGCTGCTATTATTGATTCTTGTTTTTATCTTCTTCTTGTATTAAAACTCCCTGGGAACTAGGTCAAAAGGGGAGAGAGGAGTAAATAAAAAGGAACACTAGGTGCAAGTCAGGGACAGCTTTAGTAAGCTTTGCAACCCCCTGCCCTATTTTCAGCAGGACAGTGTCATGCACCCATCAGGCAAAGCAGCCTTCCTCCGTCTGATGGGATCTGGTCCCCCAATGACTACCTCTGCAGGATTCTCCACTCATTTTACATTGCAGTCTAACATCACTTAACAAATGAACTCAACCATGTTTCACTTACCTTACATCACTTAATTCATAGTAGATATTTCTGCTTTCATCCTTAATGTATATTGCCACACTGGGTGACTCCAGCATTTTCATCGTCAGCTGCTGGGGGAAGGCACTTACAAAGAGGGCACGGATCGTGTCTGTGCTTGTGATCTCATTGGGCATCCGTAGCTGCTTAGTTTCATCTCCATACTGAAGATATAAAACACCTATGAGCAAACCCCCCAAAGGAATATATTTGTTAAAGTGAATAAAAGAGGGGTTTCAAAGCTACACCAGACACAAATTAATGAGGCCTGTTCACCCCAAAAGCTAGTTTTCACACATATAAAATCACCTTTATAGTTCGGTATTGGAAAAGGAGTATAATTCCCCATAGCTATTGATTATACGTTCTCAAGACATACAGATGCTGTAAGGGAGATTTTTGTTTGTTCTTTTGTCAGGGCATTTTCAGTTTTGCAAAGAAAGGTTACTTTTTCAGGAGGCTCCATATTTGCTGCAAACCCTGCTGTCAAGCAAAACTTCACATCGTGTGGAGTCAAAACTTTACAAAATGTTTAAGCTAGCTGGTTTAATCAAATGTCCTCTTTTTGCCATTCTGTCCATCCCACATTGTGCAACCAGCAGGTATGTTGGCTTTTTCAGGCTTCCTTGTTTCCATGTTTGGCCAGTTTAAATGCCAGAAAATAGGTTCTGAACATGCTTTTCAATAATAAGCTAGGGACTGGTTCTAGTAGAAATGTTCTTCCTCATTAAAGAAATAGAAAATAGTCTTGCTTGTTGGTATATAGAGTAGGTAGAGCACAGGAATGAATGAGAAAAGAATGGAGCAGGAGGAAACTTGTAGCAGCCTGGATGGTCCATTTCTTTCTGCACAGGAACAAAGGACCACAAGATGCTAACCTGGTATATTATGTTCAGCGGCTTGCCAAGGCTTCATGTGGGATTTTCCCAGCCTTGCCTGGAGAAGCTGGGAACTGAACCCAGGGCCTTCTTCATGAAAAGCAGCTGTTCTGCCCTTAAGCCACAGCCTTAGCCATGGCCCTTCTGCCTCTGGGGTGGGAAGGGAGGGAGGCAAGCAGGGCTGCACAGTGGGATTGCCAAGCTGATGCTACAAAGGACTAATGGGGCAAGATTCATGGGCTCCTACTGAACAGTTTCACCATCTCCAGCAGGAAGACACACTGAGTTTAGTACCTATACAGGGACATAGAAAACTACTTTGTCAGAACATTGCTTCTTTGAGCTTTCCCCCTTTGTAGTTAGAAAAGAAGTATAAGGAATTATAGCATTACTATTCCTCATCAACCTCAGGAAGAGGCAACCAGTAAAGCAGAGAGGGGACAGGGCAATGCTAACACCACAACATTACATGTTTTGCAGCCGTACATAATCAGGTAGATTCTTTCAAAAAGTCACACAAGAGGAAGTAACACACCATCCCTACAGAGAAATATCTGATATGCAAAGAGACCACCCTGTCCTTTATCAGGCAGTGAGTCCTTCAAAGATGAGGACTTAATCTGTAACAATTAACACTCCTTGTAATGCAGAATAAATGTTTTACTATTCTTTCTTAACTTCATTAGTGTATTAAAACATCTTGCAAATAACTTTATATATTGTATTGATCATAACACAAAATTCCAATAAGCTGCCTAAGAGCTTTGGTTACTGGGTGGTATAGAAGTAAGTGAATAAAACAATCAGCAATATAAAACTGATCAGCATACCAACACAAATTATTCTAACTTTCAGATATAAAATTTAAAACCAGAATTGCTTGGACTTAAGTAATAGTACTTGAATACTAAAATTACCAAAATACTTTAAAAGCCTAGGAGACAGTAAAGTGGGTGCCAAGTGAACTTGACCTGGGAGAACATTTAAGAGCTGAGGGGAGGGCCCACCACTAAAAATGCTCTCTCTTCTGTTGTTACCGTTTAAGCTTTCAGAATGAAGGAGAACTTGGTGAATGGCTTCCACGGATGACATTAAGATGTGGGAATAGAAGGACAAATATGAAGGTACTGAGTCCTGTAGAACTATATAGGTTCAAACCAGCAGTTTTAATTGGGTCTGGAAATGAACTGGAAGCCCCTGTATGCAAGAAAGCACTAGAACAAAGTGATCTTAACTACTGGTCCCCTTTAGGAATCTTACAACCATACTTAGCACCGGTTGACATTTCCAGAGTGTCTTCAAAGGCAGCCCCATGCACAACACAGTTCAAATGGGAAGTTAACAGCCCATGGATCACTGTGTACTCACCTCCAGATAAGAATGTACTTACATACCACCTGAAGCTAGTAAAAACTGCTCTGTATAACAGGGGCTATCTGAACCTCTAATAATGGGGATGAACCCAGGTACACCGCCCGGCTCTGCACTGCCATGCAGCCCCACCTCTAGAACAGGTTGAATCCCATTCATTTGGTCTAAGGAGATACCCACTGTGCCTGTCACATGTCTGGACTGAAATTCAGATTGTTAGCCCATATCTAGGTCATTCCTGAGGCTTCCCAGAGCCTTCTTCCAGGTCATTCCCAGAGCCTTCTTGGTGTCTGAATATGTCAGCCACATATTAAGGGCAATGTACTTCAAAGCCTTGAACGATCTTACTCAGTGGCTTCACACAGATATTGGAAGCATCAGGGGCAAGATAGAACTTTCAGACCCTGAAATGAGATGCCACAGAGTTGATCAGATACACCTCAGCACCACCTTCTGAAAGCATTCACCTAGGTAAGAAACAATCACCCAAGAAGGATACAATGGCTGATGGTATTGAAAGATGCCAAAAGGGTAAGATGAATCAACAGGGTTTCATTCTCCCTTTCTTTCTCCCAACAGAGGGCATTCTAAAGGGTGACATCCAATAGCCAGGTCTAAACTCCAACTCGGAAAATCCATTTTATGGCCCAAGAGCTCCTGGTATACAGTCATTATTATCACCATTCTTTCTCAGCTTTGCAAGTCGTATGTTCAGGGCTGGACTTGAGGTCACCTTCATGTTCTTTGTGGTATTTCTGGCCTAGGCCTAAGGCATTATTTTCCATTAGCAGCTCTTACCTATTCATATGTACATCCTACACTTTAAAAGTGCAAGAAAAAGAGACATGTGATATTTTTGTCTTCCAATAATCTAGCAAAATCCGTTAAAAGTTTTTTTTTTGTTTTTTTTACATGAAGCATTTGTCTACTCAGCATGCTTTACACAAAGTTGCTTACAAGCCCAGTACACAACATTGTGATACTCCGGTTTCCCTTTTCATTTTAAAGAGCACTTTCACAGGTTTTTTTAAGAGTAAGGAAAATGGAATACTTATTGGGTAATTGTGCTATTCTATTACTGCACAATACCACCTAGAGGTTATATGAAAGAAAAGCAGGAAAGGAAGTGTTATTTGCTTAGAGCAGGGGTCCTGAAATTTTTCCACCAGGGAGCCAGTTGAAAGCTGCTGGTACTGGGCGTGGGTCCGAAAGGTGGGGCTGGCAGTGCGCGCAGGCCGGGGCGGGGGCAGCACATGTGGGCACATGGCGAAGCAAGGGGAGGGGAGGTGCAGGTGGGGGCAGGCACGCACTGCGAGGCAGGCGCATGAGACAGCCGTTCACTTGCTTGGAGATCAAAGGCACCTGGAACCTGTGATATGGACCTCAGCCTCCTGGAGGAACCCAGGCTCCTTGGCACCAGTAACCAAGGAGAACAGCTGTCCTAAGAGACTAGGAGCTTCTGTACATGAAGGATTTAAATTGCTGATTTACTGAGGCTTCTTCTCCTGTTTTCATTGTGGGAGAAAAACTTGGGGACTTTTTCCTGGAATTTTTCTTTCTCTTCTATATCCTAATAACAAAGCCCAAAGTGGCTCTGTTGCATAGCTGCACCATAGTGGATTTGCAGCTTCTCACAGAGCCTTTGTTCCAGCATTCTACAGTTTAAAATGTAACATCAGATTTGCCTCATTCTAAAGAAACCCACCCCAAAGGCTGGAAAACAGGAAGATGCTCTGGAGGATGACAAGGTTGTGAAAAGTGCTTCAAACTTTCACAAGTGAAGGATCATAAGAGTATAATAAATGCCTCATGTAGAGAAGCCCTTGGTGCAGCTGGGCTGAGCCATAATTCTTGTTCAGAGGGGAATTTGAGAATTCAGCAACCAGCTGATACTTCTCTGAAGCAACGGGACCAGTGAAGATTGGTTTGGAGAAGGGCCGAGACTCACAGAGCCGGTCTACCACAGACATTGCACTGGCAAGTCAACTTGATGAAGCTAATGACTTCAACAGTTTGGCTGGGAAACGAATCTGCCCTGCTCCATTGCTAAGATGACCCCAGGATTCCAGACTCTTGACATATCCTGGATTCTTTTGAAGTCTGATTGCTTAGGCTATGAATTTTGCACTTTTTCTGTGAATTGCACTTTCTGTATGAGCTCACTTGGCATCTGGCACCACTGTTCCTTAGGATTAATGGCAGAACCAAAGAGATTGTTAAGGAGTTTGTGTCAGACAAGAATACCTACACTGTCACATTGCTCAGCACATGCAATGAACTTAGCTATCCTAACTTCTGGACTGGGTGAATGCCTTGTAGATGTTGGAATCTCAAGGACTTCTTTGGAGAAGAAATCTGCTCCCAAGAAATAGATTACAGAGAAAGCTGTTATTTCCTACCTGAAAAGCAGGTATTCTTTTGCCACTGAACTGTAGCCACCTCCCTGAGTAGACAGAAAGGCTATTACCCAGGTTAAGCAGTATCCCCCACCTCCCTTAAGAACTTCTTCAGAAGACAGTTGAACCCCTGCAAAGTTGTCACTTTTAGAGTTTATTATTCAAAATTGAACCCCATTACCACCTCTACAACTTGTAAAGTTATGTCCTTCTTGAATGTACCTGTTTACTTCTTCCATTACCTCCAGAGATACCAGCCACATAAAAAAGTGACATTGGTACCTAGAAGAAATCATAATGAACGCATCAGAGATGCATTAATTTATGTTAATGTTATAATGGTGCTTCTGGCCTAAAAATACAGGAGGCAGTGAGACTGTCTAATAAGGTTTTTGCGAATTAACATGACTTGCACAATGTATGTTTGCCAAGGAAGCAATGTGAAACTGTATTCTGGCACCATCTATTGCCTTTTTTCAGGTGCATTCTCAAGATATCTGCTTACACACAAAGGAAGAGCAGATTAAAATAAGGGA